CGGCAGCCTTTCGAACTTAATAGCCACATCAGCGGCTCCGACCTATTAATAAACTCCGCACGTCCGCCATGGCCTTATACATTTGTGGCGCCCATTGGAAAACATTAACACTGGATATCTCAGAATATTGAAGTCAGCCCCCCCAAAGACAAAATCCTGGCTCCGCCCCTGATGATTGTTAATTTGGAAAGCTATTTTTGTGGTTTAGAAAGGATTTTGTAGGAGTCTGCAGCGATGGAATGATGCCTTCATTTATATCAGCTGTTATTTGTAATGTTTTTTTAGGTTTGTGCCCTATGCAGCAAAGGCAATGTCATGTGCATATAAATTTTCGATATGATGTACAGTACATGGGAGGTCACTTGTGTTAAAATGTTAAATAGTGACAGTGCCCGTACCGAGCCTTAAGGGAAACCATTGTTCATAATTATCTTGCGGATGTGTTTACCACCGAGGAGTACCCTGAAAATATGGTTGCTGAGCTTCGCATCGATTAGGTGTATATTATAGTGGCATCTTCAGCAGCAGGGTATGACACCAAACAGTTTCATAGGCAGCAGAGAGCTTAATCATTGCTGTGCCAATTTTATGTTGATGCTGGGAATCGGCTTCTATAAGGATGGTGAAGGCAACAATCTGTTCGTAGCAGCCATGGCCAGTTCAAAATCCGGAAATACGTTTGTGCGGTGAATTGAAGACTTGTCGGCTAACTTTAAAACAGCAAGTGTCAGATAAAGCTTGTGCTTTCGATTTTTACTCGATTGCATGTGATGAGAGCACAGATACCACGGACACTGCACAGCTGTTATTTTTTTTTGCGGGGAGTTGACGATAATTTTTGCATTACGGAGGAACTGCTCGATCTTCGGAGTCTAAAGGGGACACCAACTGGGAAGGACATGTTTGAAGCTGTGTCAGATGCAATTGACCAGGCTGGACTTAAATGGGACAAGCTGTGTGGAATTGCAACGGATGGGGCTCCAGCAATGACAGGCGAGCGCAAAGGAATGGCCTCTATGGTGAGTGCCAAGGTGCGGGAGAGCGGAGGCGAGGCTGTCAAAATGCACTGTATCATCCACCAAGAAGCCCTCTGTGCCAAGATAATCCAGCTTGGCGATGTGATGAACACGGTTGTGAAAACTGTCAACATAATTCGGGCACGAGGGCTTTACCACAGAGAATTTCAATGTTCCTGTCTGATGTCGATGCTGAATACGGGGACCTACTCTACCATTCTGTAGTGTGCTGGCTCAGTCGCGGCTCCGTGCTGCAGCGGTTTTATTCCCCGAGATCAAATATCGACAAGTTGTTGAAAGAAAAGGGCAGACCTCTCCATGAGATCAGTGACCCTTTGTGGTTGGCAGTCCTGGCTTTTTCTAGTTGATCTCACTGATCATCTCAACACCCTGAACAATAGACTACAAGGCAAAGAGCAGCTGGTACCACAGCTGTATGTGCACATGAAAGCATTCCGTGCGAAGCTCCGTCTCTTCGAGTCACAACTGCGCAACTTAAATGTAGCGCACTTCCCCACACTGACCGAAATCAAATGCGCATTTCCAAATGCCAAGCTCTCGACAAAATTGAGAATGTCTGTGATCACATCTCTCATGACAGAATTCAGTCAGCGCTTCCAAGATTTTTCTGTCATTGAGAAGGAAATCACACTGTTTGCGGCTCCGTTTTCAATGGATGCAAAAGAAGTGGAGGAGAGTCTGCAATTGGAACTGATCGAAATTCAGTGTGATGATTATCTGAAGAATCAGCATCAGCTTCTCTCCCTACCTGACTTCTACCGGAGCTTGGAAAAGACCAAGTTTCCTCTGATGAGACGCCACGCAAAACGAATGATGAGTCTGTTCGGCTCAACATACATCTGTGAGCAGACATTCTCTCTGTTAACGCTGAACCACAGCAGACTGAGAACCAGAACGACCGACGTCCTTCGCATCTCAACCACCAAACTTACTCCTGACCTGCCAGCTATCCTTCAGATCATTGCTACCACAGAGCACAACATTCTTCCCATTATAGGCGAGTTAAAAATATACACACAGTTTTCATTTGTTAATAAGCCCAATTACTTAATAAATTCAGTCAATTAAAGTTGATGACAATTTTTTTAACAAAGGTTAGTTGATGTATTAACAAGCCCAATAATTTGTGTAATAAGCTTGAAATATCCACATCCCTTATTTCTCTTCTTGTCTCTCCCTTCATACAGGACAATGAAGGGGGATCAGCACCCTAAGAACCAATCTGAGGCTGTCATTGAGAGAATGACCTGCCAACCTTTTTGTAAAAAAATAAAATGAAAATCTACTAATGGAGAGCTATGATGGAGGCTTTTTTTCTTCAAACATGTTCAATTATCAAACGTAATTTACCTGCATTTGATTGATGTTGCCAATATTAGTGCATGAGAAGTGAGGCAGTACACCTCACGTCTAGTGAGTGGCCCAGTCCTTCGTTTATTTTTCTGTATGTGGCCCTCGGGGAAAAAAGTTTGGACACCCCTGCTCTACAGGTTTCATAATGTCGATGACTATGGCTTTCTTCCACACCTTCAGAATTTTTCCTGCCCTGTGTATGATGGTAAAGAGGCGTTCAAGCCGTTGTTGTCCATTTAGTCCCAGATTCTGTAGGAACTCAGGACACAGGCCATCATATCCCAGAACCTTGTTGGACTTTGTGGCCTTGTCGGCAGCTTCAACTTCAGCGACAGGGTATGATGGTCTTGTTATATCTGTCGCTTGTGGTAGTTGACGCAAGGTGATTGTGGGTTGTTACCAGACAGCTTGTTTGGTGAGATTTTCGATACGTGCTTTTGACGACAGCAGCATGTGGGAAGCCCCGCAAATCCGATTAGCACAGTTGGCTATGTACGGTGCAAAAGAAGCTCAACGTACAAAATTCACTATGCTTTTTGGAGGACTGTGCTCTGATGGTTTTGAGGCACCCCGGTTGCAAAGTAGCTGTCAGGCTTCGTGGGTGTAATAAATGATATAAATGAAACTGAAAACTGAGTGAAATACAAATTTGCAGTGACGTCTTCCCAATGCTTTCTGCGTGTAGAGTTCAGGGAACTCCAGTCGTGTGGTGCCCTTAATTTGGTCTCCAGTTCTGATGACCTCTGTGAAGAGTTCTGTTGCCATGATGTCATTTATATGTTCCGATACTCCCTAGCAATGGCGGGTTTTTTTTTGCGTGAGATGTCAGAATTTTTAAAATATTTGTTTCAGTTTTCAGGCTTTGACTCCAGGTTCTTAAATTTGATTTCGGTTTCTATATCGCCACGTTATTGTATGAATGTTGTGTTACTCAAGTGCACGCAGTCCCATGATATACGATGCTAATTGGACAATTTGAATACATTGGGAAAATACAAAAAAGATAAATGAGTTTTACTGTACATACATGCAGGGCATACAGTACACTGCGCACCGCAACACGTGTCAAATTACAGTTTTCAATTTTCAAACGAGACTTGTTTTCCACCTTCTCTCATAACATTGAATATTTTTTAGAGAAATATTATAGCATTGAGAATAATGCCTTGTCGCTATTGTCCATATATTGTGCTAAATATATTTGAACACGAGTGTCTAAAATACTGTTACAAAGTATAATTCACAAGCAGGCAGATTGAATAGTAAGAAACCATTACTGCATTGCACGTTATTTATGTGCAACTACAGTGTTGCCTCTGAAACAAATACTTCCTTGTTTCTTTCAGACTCGTAATTTTTTTCAACTTTATTTGACATAATTGCTGACAAGCATGAGAAGGCATCATTATTCCAAGTGGACTGACAATTGATATACGATTGATGTGTGTACGTAGATATGATGGCAGCATTCACACGGCCCACTTTAAGTGAGAAATCACGACTATTGCCATCGACACGACGACCGAATTTCGATATTCTGATCTCAAGAGGAACAACTGTACCATTCAAACAACACTTTTCACACCTGGCTTATATGTACACAACTTAAAATGTTCTTTCAAATGTATGGCATGATGTGTTGCATGCCATACTAATTTTGCCGATTTTTAAACATGTGTTGTGTAGTGTAGAACGACGCGAAGACAACTAATTCTATGGGCTCACGCCGGTTTATTAACAGGGATACAAACTCACACCAGAGATAGGTGTCCACTATACTCGGTCCTTCCCGTGGACCCCAGACCCTATTCTTGCCTAACCTCGGCTATTCCCTTGGGTTCTCTCACTCGAGACGGGACGGGAGTTCAGCCAACACCGCCCGACCGAGGAGAGGAGAACCACACTCATTCTCAGCCGACTCTCTCTCCAGGCCCGGCCCTCGGCTTTCCCTTCGGCTCTGCCACTCGTCAAACCCGGGGCGACCTCGCCTTCGTCACGAGGTCCCCCTTAAGTACCCCCCTTTGGTGGCTCCTCCCCCTTTCTCGGACCCACCCCCGTTCTTCTCGATATCTGCCTACGGAGCTCATGACATGACGTCATGATGCACGTCATCACACTACTCCTCTACACATGTATAAAAAAAATCAAACAGCAACAAATATTAAATTTTGATTTAAAGCTTTCGTGACTGCAAGGATTCATCTTCTTTGGTTCTTTCGGTAAAGTCATGTAGAATGAGAATAAAATAATACATTGATAAAATAAAATAACACAATAAAATTCTCACGACGTTTCGGCCACAACACAAGCGGCCTTTATCAGGTGAAGGGACGAGACTGTCTGGAGGACAGCGCTGGAGCGAAAAAGCCACGCTCAGATCGCGACCTTTAAGCTGTGTGAGAAGAAACAAAGCGCCTTGACAAAGGAATTAACATAGAATTTAGCATTGAAATAGCTGAGTGATTAGCTTGTGACTGGTCACAGAAATAGCTATGTTAAAGTCAGAGCATACACATTCACAGAGGCACCTAGTACAAATCAAACAGGATAATCTATTTATTTATTTTTGTCAATTTATTATTTTCTTCTCATTCTACGTGACTTTACCGAAAGAACCAAAGAAGAAAAACAAATATTATTCCATACAAATGCCCATCATTAATTTGACATCCCGTGCACTTGCAGAGTACAACTCCTCTGCATCAACTATTTCCGTGTAAGAAGGGGATTGGTTTCGTGGAATCCTGAAATGGATATCAAGTTAATACATTTCATCGTTTAATTATTGAGTTCAATTCATATTTGTACAATTTTGTCAAATGTTAGCATTTACATTATCACAACACTGATACTTCTTTACATACAGCCTATGTATCAGAATGTTCTGGTTACGGTTTATGTCCACTTTAAAGAGAGGTAATTTCCTGAAATCTCATGAAGGCAGTGCGAGGTTTATGCAATCAGCTCTCTGAGCTTGACATGCAAAAATGTGTCGATCTATTCCAGGAAAGTATCCAACTATTTATATGCTGAATAGATTGAGTGGGCCAACAACCTATTGCCAGTGCCAAGTGGTCACGTATTATTTACTGCACTTAATTAAACCTCGCGTTCCTTGCCTGCAGCGTCAAGATAGATAGACGGGCACTCATTTAAACTGCCAAGAAAGACATCCACCCGTGCATGGAGACGTCATCATGCCGGCAAAGAAAAACTATTCGCCCATGGAAAACACTTGCCTGTTGGTGCGTCCACATTTTAAAACTCTTTTGAGCGAGTTGCGAAATGTGGATGATCCGATGTAGATGATCAGTGGATCTAGGAGGCTGTTGATCACACTTAGACACATGGTGACGTCTCTCAGTATTGCGATGCTGTGCCAAGAAAAGGCGCCTGTTCTTGTCTGTATGAAACCTATAACGTGCGTTGAGTTATACGGGATGAAGCACACGACGTAAATCAATAAGCTCACTGCGGTAGTCTTGGCAGCACGTATCTTTTTTGCTTGACTTATCAGTTCTGTCTGCCCTGTCGTCACAATGAGGGTTTTCACGACATTTCCATAACAAAACATCGCTATAGTCAGGGACATGAGATAGAGAGCAAAGAATACGTATAGCCTGTACGCTGCCAAGAATGTCAGATCTTCTGGAGTGAATTTTTCATAGCATCTCACAAACACGAATGTGGTACTATTAGTTGTAATGTTCTCTTCGCTGAGAAAGCTGCTAATGTGGTTAGCGGGCAAGGTGTGGGTAATGCTAAGGACCCAGCACAAGAGACAAATGAGCCACGCCGTTTGGGGTTTGCGCCAGCGAGACACTCTTAGCGGGTACACGACAGCAACATAGCGGTCCATGCTTATTGCGCAAAGCAACAATAGGTTCGCATAAAAGTTGGAAAAGAATAACATTATGTGTAAAATACACATGAAACTTGAAAGGATCCATCTGTTTCCATTGAAGTGATAGTCAATTTTCAGTGGTAGAAAGAGCAGGAAGAGCAAGTCCCCCGCGGCCAGATTGAGCATGTAGACGGACATGGACGACTTCTTCTTTCGGCTGAGCACGCACAGAGCGAGGGCATTCAGTGGGACGCCCAGAACCACCGTGATGGCATAAACGGAGGGAACGATCCAAACCTGGAACAGCTCGATCATGTCCATTCTTCACCAGAGACAGAGGCACAGCTAGAGCAGACATGGCACAGCTTAAACACAGCTACGATTTAAAAACAAAAACAGTAATGCATTCTTACATGTTACACTGGCTTTTGGTTTTAAATGTATCCTTAAGTAAAAGTGAACAAGAGTTTATTCTGCTTCTAGAGTAGCTGTAGTCTTTTCCTTACCGTTTTACAGAGCTCACCAGGTAGTACGCTGGTCTAACTCTTCACTCTGTTCCTTTAAAAGCAACTCTTCAATATGCTAAGCCTTCGACAAAGACCATCTGGTTATAAACAAAAACAACGCCAAATGCAAAGTCAACAAACATTATTTAAAGGTCGAAATATCATGAAGTCAATTACACCTGAGCTGAACAGGTGAAGCACACAGATCAGCAAAGTTAAAAGGCAAGCGTGGTTATAGAGTTGCATGCAAAGCACACAAGTTCTGAAAAGGCAACCGATGCATCGAAAAGGGCCAACTCAGCTGCACGTTGCGCGCCCGTGAGACACCAGCGCTGCATAGATCTCGCTAGTCTTCACTTGTATTTATTGGCTGTGGTGCTGTGGAGCAGTTATTTTTCTCATATTAATTTTACATGTTTATTTTTAAACAACTTGACGAGCTTTCAATTTTCCTTTGTAAGCCCATGATAAATATTTATACTGCTGATTGTTGGCTGGCTCCATGCATCGAAAGTGTGCAGGAGTAATATTATTGAGTGCGGGCCATGTTAGGACATGTTTTCCATTTAATTACAAACCTTTTCTACATTAAATGCGGAAGTATTATCTACAATAACTTGGTATTTGTGTAGCGGACGACTCTCTGCTCCAGATGTGCAGATTTCATACGAAACGTTACCATAATTTAGTTTGAAACGCTGTAAGATTAATCAATATCCCAAGATCGTGGAAGTGCCTTTCGTGAAACAATTATAATTTTTTCCGAACAAAATCATAATTTTCTTCATAATACTCGCTTTATTTTGTTTATTACTATATAGTTTGAATTTTAATAATGTATAAATAACGATTTTAAATTTCGATTTAAAGCTTTCGTGACTGCAATGATTCATCTTCTTTGGTTCTTTCGGTAAAGTCACGTAGAATGATAATAAAATAATAAATTGATAAAATAAAATAACACAATAATATTCTCACGACGTTTCGGCCACAACACAAGCGGCCTTCATCAGGTGAAGGGGGCGAGACTGTCTGGTAGGACAGTGCTGGAGTGAAAGAGCCACGTTCAGATACGGCCTTTAAGCTGTGTGAGAGGAACAAAGCGCCTTGACAAAGGAATTAGCATAGAATTTAGCATTGAAATGGCTGAATGATTAGCTTGTGACTGGTCACAGAAATAGCTATGTTAAAAGTTAAAGCATACACACCCGCAGAGGCACCCATTGTTAAAGGCATTAGCATAGAATTTAGCATTGAAATAGCTAAGTTAAGACATACACATCTGCAGAGGCACCCCTTGACAATGGAATTAGCATAGAATTTAGCATTGAGATAGCTGAGTGGTTAGCTTGTACCTGCTGCAGAAATAGAGCTTGTACCTGCTGCAGAAATAGCTACGTTAAAGTCAGAGCATACACATTCACCGAGGCCCTTAGTACAAATCAAACAGGAGAATTTAGCATTGAAATAACTAGGCGAATCCAGCATTGAAACAACTGAGTGATTAGCTAGTGACTGGTCACAGAAATGACTACACATCTGAGCTATTCACAGTACTATATAGTGAACCAATAAAAACTAAAATATAAATTACCTTCATGTTATCAATAAACTCTATATTCTCCAATTAGCTAAGCTACCAACAATAAGTCGTTATATATCACAATGCTATATGGCGAAAAAATGGGTGGATTCTTACCCTCAAATTTAGCACCACGGATAGCTACGGGCCCTGTTCAGACGGACGAGTTCGTCCATGGTCGGAACAGAGGAGGGGGAGAGAGACAGCTGCGAGGCCCTAGTATGCTCCATGTTATAAAACTATACCATTAACCGTGGTGTGAGAGGTATTAAGAGGCAATGCTGGCGAAAGAGCTGCGGTCTGAAGGTCATCGTAAAAATACAATTAATTAAGAACATAAATGATTTAAAACATCTTTCCAGTGGTTACTAAGCCTGAATCCATCTTCTCAGTTGAAATTGTCTCTGTGCTTGTATATGTGAATGGCCTCATGAACGAATCTCTCATGGTAGCCGGTTGGTTTGCAAAGAACCTCCGTCTTGGAGAAGTCAATGTCATGTGAGCCCACTGAATTATAACAGTGATCTGCCACGGCAGAGGAGTTCGTCCTACCGTGTTTCAAGTCTGCTTTGTGTTCGCGGATGCGGTCCGAGATATGTCTTTTGGTTTCTCCAATGTAGCTACTACCACAGAGGCACTTTAGTTTGTAAACGCCCGGGTACTGTATGTCTGGAACAGCATCTTTTACAGATGGAACTAAATCACGGATTTTATGTACTGTGTTGAATCGGACCTGGATCTTGTGTTTGTTCAGGATTTTAGAGATCTTTTTAGTGACCCCTGCAATGTAGGGTAAGGTGATGGTTTTGAGTGGCTCCACAAGAGGATCCTTCTTCATGACTGGAGTGATGGCTTTGCGGATTGTGTAGTCGGAGTAGCCATTAGCCCTGAGAGCCTGGTGTACGTGCTTGAGTTCACTGGTAATGTGTTCCTGGTCGGAAATGCATTGGGCTCTATGGTATAGAGTCTTGATGAGGGAGTTCTTCTGGGATGGATGGTGGTGGGAATCCGGTTTCAAGTAAGCATCTGTATGGGTAGCTTTCCTGTAGACAGAGTGGCTCATTGAACCATCATGTCTTCTTTTAATTAAGACATCCAAAAAGGGTAGTTTGCCATCTTTTTCGACCTCCATGGTAAATCTGATGGCTGGGTGTATGGAATTGATGTGGTCGCGGAATTGGTCTAGAGCAGGCTGGCCATGTGGCCAGATGACAAAGGTGTCATCAACGTACCTCTTCCATAAGGTCGGGCGTAGAGTGGCAGTCTGGATGGCGTCAGTTTCAAATTTTTCCATGAATACGTTGGCTACAACCGGAGATAGGGGGGAGCCCATTGGGGTGCCCTCAGTTTGTTTGTAGAAAGTTCCATTCCAGGTGAAGTAAGTGTTGGTTAAGCAATGTCTCACCAGGGGGGGTACATCAGTATGCAGTCCTTGATGAACCAGGTCTTCAATGATAGCGATGGTGTCAGGTACCGGGACTTTGGTGAACAAGGACACCACATCAAAACTGACAAGCAGGTCGTTTGGGGACAGGGAAATGCCTTTGATTGTCGAAACCAGGTGAGAAGAATTTAGTACCGCAGAGGTGGTTTTTCCAGTGAAAGGTCGCAGTATATCAGCAAGAAAACGTGCCAGTTTGTAGGTGGGGGAGCTGATAGTAGAGACGATGGGACGAAGGGGTGTATCTTCTTTGTGTATCTTTGGAAGGCCATATAATCTTGGTGGTCTGGCAGCAGAGGGCTTCAACGAGAACTGTTTGATCTCATCAATTAATGCTGTTGAATCAGAGATGATTTTGTTCGTTTTGGTGACCAGGCTGTTGGTGGGATCTCTTTTTATTTTTGTGTAGCTGCCATCGTTGAGTAGTTCTTGAATTTTGTTGTTATATTCTGTTTTGTCCATGATGACAGTGGCATTGCCTTTGTCGGCTGAGAGGACAACAATATCATCCCTATTTTTTAATTGACATAATTCAAAACGTTCGTCTTTGCTGATGTTGCTGGGTGGCAACTTAGCGTTTTTGAGGGTTGCAGCGATTTCAGATCTTGCTACGTCTGCAGAGATGTGACTCAAGCCCTTGAGTGCAACGTCGACATGGGCAATGATATCATTAACCGGTAAGTGTCTCGGTGTGACAGCAAAGTTTAGACCTTTAGCTAAAACGGATTTCAGACCATCAGAAATGGAACTGTTACTGCGATTAATTACGACTTTGTTGACGTCTATCTTTTCGGTGTGTGGATCCGATTTTTTGCTGGAGAGGTGATTGAATTTGGAAATCAAATTGTCCCTACATTTGTTCGACATAGTGGCAGCCGAAGAGGTAGTCATATTGTCTACATGTTCCCAATCCGATGTAGACATTGTTGCTGTCAATTTTAAGTGTGATTTGTAGAGTGTCTTGTCTAACTGATCGAGTTCGGTGCGTGTAAGTCTGATTTTTTCCGAGATAAGAGTGAAGCTAGTTCTAGCTAGAATTCGTTTTGCATTGAGAGAAGTTGCAACAGCAGAGGTTAGTGTAAATGCGGTTGGTATTACCTTAGAGTCGCGGCATCTCTTCAGAAAGGTGAGAGACTCGATTAGTTGAGCCTTCTTATCCCGAAGTCTGTTGAATGATTTTAAGGATGTGTGGAATCCCTCCCCGTAGAGGCGGTTAAATTTCGATTTAAAGCTTTCGTGACTGCAATGATTCATCTTCTTTGGTTCTTTCGGTAAAGTCACGTAGAATGATAATAAAATAATAAATTGATAAAATAAAATAACACAATAATATTCTCACGACGTTTCGGCCACAACACAAGCGGCCTTCATCAGGTGAAGGGGGCGAGACTGTCTGGTAGGACAGTGCTGGAGTGAAAGAGCCACGTTCAGATACGGCCTTTAAGCTGTGTGAGAGGAACAAAGCGCCTTGACAAAGGAATTAGCATAGAATTTAGCATTGAAATGGCTGAATGATTAGCTTGTGACTGGTCACAGAAATAGCTATGTTAAAAGTTAAAGCATACACACCCGCAGAGGCACCCATTGTTAAAGGCATTAGCATAGAATTTAGCATTGAAATAGCTAAGTTAAGACATACACATCCGCAGAGGCACCCCTTGACAATGGAATTAGCATAGAATTTAGCATTGAGATAGCTGAGTGGTTAGCTTGTACCTGCTGCAGAAATAGAGCTTGTACCTGCTGCAGAAATAGCTACGTTAAAGTCAGAGCATACACATTCACCGAGGCCCTTAGTACAAATCAAACAGGAGAATTTAGCATTGAAATAACTAGGCGAATCCAGCATTGAAACAACTGAGTGATTAGCTAGTGACTGGTCACAGAAATGACTACACATCTGAGCTATTCACAGTACTATATAGTGAACCAATAAAAACTAAAATATAAATTACCTTCATGTTATCAATAAACTCTATATTCTCCAATTAGCTAAGCTACCAACAATAAGTCGTTATATATCACAATGCTATATGGCGAAAAAATGGGTGGATTCTTACCCTCAAATTTAGCACCACGGATAGCTACGGGCCCCGTTCAGACGGACGAGTTCGTCCATGGTCGGAACAGAGGAGGGGGAGAGAGACAGCTGCGAGGCCCTAGTATGCTCCATGTTATAAAACTATACCATTAACCGTGGTGTGAGAGGTATTAAGAGGCAATGCTGGCGAAAGAGCTGCGGTCTGAAGGTCATCGTAAAAATACAATTAATTAAGAACAGAAATGATTTAAAACATCTTTCCAGTGGTTACTAAGCCTGAATCCATCTTCTCGGTTGAAATTGTCTCTGTGCTTGTATATGTGAATGGCCTCATGAACGAATCTCTCATGGTAGCCGGTTGGTTTGCAAAGAACCTCCGTCTTGGACAAGTCAATGTCATGTGAGCCCACTGAATTATAACAGTGATCTGCCACGGCAGAGGAGTTCGTCCTACCGTGTTTCAAGTCTGCTTTGTGTTCGCGGATGCGGTCCGAGATATGTCTTTTGGTTTCTCCAATGTAGCTACTACCACAGAGGCACTTTAGTTTGTAAACGCCCGGGTACTGTATGTCTGGAACAGCATCTTTTACAGATGGAACTAAATCACGGATTTTATGTACTGTGTTGAATCGGACCTGGATCTTGTGTTTGTTCAGGATTTTAGATATCTTTTTAGTGACCCCTGCAATGTAGGGTAAGGTGATGGTTTTGAGTGGCTCCACAAGAGGATCCTTCTTCATGACTGGAGTGATGGCTTTGCGGATTGTGTAGTTGGAGTAGCCATTAGCCCTGAGAGCCTGGTGTACGTGCTTGAGTTCACTG